TGTGGAGCCTTCTTGTAATTGCACAGTCCTTTCAGCAGTTCCAAGGAGGCTCCGTACCCCTTTGCACTATTCAGATGACACAGACAACCTCCAAGTGGCCTCAACAGCCCTCTCAAAGGATGCAAACGACCAACTGTCTGCAAGGAGTATCAATCCCTCCAGTCCTCACCATCCAGTCAGAAGGCTCCACGCCCATTTGCATCACTCAGGTGTGACCCTGAGGACACAGATAAACCTCCAAGTGGCCTCAATGACCCTCTAAAAGGGTGCAAATGACCAGCTGCCTGCAAGGAGTATCAATCCCTCCAGTCCTCACCATCCAGTCAGAAGGCTCCACACCCATTTGCACCACTCAGGTGTGACCCTGAGGACACAGATAAACCTCCAAGTGGCCTCAACGACTCTCTAAAAGGATGCAAATGACCAGCTGTCTGCAAGGAGTATCAATCCTTCCTTCCCCACCATCCAGTCAGAGCTGAAGAAGCTTCTTGGATGGGAAGAGAAATGTCTTCAAAGAAAAAAAACACAAAGTCTAGTTGCCTTTTGGGAAAAAAAAAACCACCTTTGGGACAACTTTGAGAATCTCCCTAGACAACCAGAAGGATGATGGGATGCTTAAGATAACCAATCTACAAAGCTGGATCTTCCTGTCTGCGCCCATCCCAACCAGCCTGGTCCTAAACGTATGCTCAGAGGCTGTGGGTCAGTAGTGGGGCCTGGTCAGGAGTCCTCTGATCTCCTCTTCTCCTCCAGGCTGACCGGCCGTAGCAGCAACGAGCCCAAGAGGATCAAGAAAAGCAAGATGATCGCCAAAGCTTTCTCCAGGAGGAAGGAGCTGCAGCACAACCCCGAGCAGGAACTTTCCTTCAGCCTGCGCACCGTCTCGCACGAGGGACCCGTCGGTACGTCCTCGAGAAGGAAGAAAAAACGAGGATGCTTGTGCCGTGGGGTCTTTAGTACTCTCTGGAGCTTGAGGATTTTCCTTGCGGCAGACGTTTCATGACCCAACTAGGGAACATCATCGGGCCTAGGGGGGTGTGGGGGTTTGTGGAGAGGAAGAGGATTGTGGGGGTCCTTGGTGCTTGGGTTTTTTTTTTTCTTGCAGATGTTTCATGATCCTATTGGGTGACATCATCAGCACTAAAAGAGAGTGGTGTTATATAAACAGGAAGCAAAGTGCGCTCCCTTCTAGCACCGAAAACGTTCCCTAGTTGGCTCATGAAATGGCGGTGTGATAAAAAATCAACTGTTCAGGTATTCAGACAAACTATTGATAGATAAGAGCTTTCTTATAAGGGTTTTGCAAAAGGGAATTCGGCTCATGGGCAGAGGACATGGTTCCCAGGAAGGCTGGGGTTTATATACAGGCTCAAATATACAGTCTCTGCCCCTTTCCAGGTTCACAAATCTATCCAGCTATGTATCTCCCTATGCAACACCCCTATTATTATTGTAGCGTAGCATCTGTTTCCTCGTCCTGTTTACCCTTTTCCAATTCCAGTAATCTCCATCATAGATATGACACTGGACAGCCTGACCTGCCAAATAGATCACCTTTATACAAAACAATAGAGAATTCTTACACAATATTCCAGTAAATTATCTTAGGTTAACCCAGAGGTTAAAAATGGTGTCACCGTTGCTTTATATTTTCACAGGTGTAATTTTACATATCAGTCAGCAAGAAAATCAGCATGCTTAGAGGACACCAAACACCCCATAGTCCTGGTCTTCCTTCATCTTCCTCTCCTTTATTCCTTCCTCTTCCCCTTCACCTCCTCCTCTCCACAAACTCTACTCCCTTCTAGCACTGATGACGTTCCCTAGTTGGGTCATGAAACGTCTGCAAGGAAACCACCCAGCTCAGGGAGCACCAAGGACTCCATATTATTCAACCTCCACTTCTTCCTCCTCCTCCTCTCCACAACCCCACTCCCTTCTATCACTGATGATGTTCCGTAGTTGGGTCATGAAATGTCTGCAAGGAAACCACCAAGCTCAGAGAGCATCAAGGACCCCACATTTCAACCCCGAGCTACAAATATTAAAATATATGTATATTTGTTTCTCTTCCCAGCCGGTTTGGCGTTCGACATCAGCGAGCCTTCGGGGGACATGAGCTCAGCTTGGGCGCAACATGTGACCAAGATGGTGGCCAGGAGAGGAGCCATCCTCTCTCAGGATGTCTCTGTCACCCCTGTAGCCACACCAGGTAATGGCCTTCATGGAGGTTGGATGGGCAGGAGGTCAGGCTGGGCTGTCAGAGCTTGAATGCCATGGGAAGGTCCCCTCTTGGGGCAGTGTGGACATTCCACCCACTGGTGTCCGTTCTATCTTGACTCACTGCTGCCAGCTGCTGGCCAGAGACTGGAATTGCAGGTAGTCCACTTGTAATGCATTACTCTTGGCCTGGAAAGTTTAGCAATGGGGAGAGGGACATTCTTCTGCTTTCTTTAAGGGAGGGGTCACCTGGAAAGGTAAAACATGTGCCATCCAGGGGTGTTTGTGTGTGTGTGTATGTGCGTGTGTGTGTGACAGAGAAAGAGGGAGAGAAGGAAGGAAGGAAGGAAGGAAAGAAAGAAAGAAAAAGGAAGAAAGAAAGAAAGAAAGAAAGAAAGAAAGAAAGAAAGAAAGAAAGAAAGAAAGAAAACAAGAATGGAAGGAAGGACAGAAAGTGGGAAGAAGGAAAGAAGGAAGGAAGGAAGGGAAAGAAACAGGAAGGAAGGGCGGAATGGAGAGAAAGGAAGGAAGGAAAAAAAAGGAAAGAAAGAATGGAGGGAGAGAAAGAAGGAAGGAAAAAGAAAAAGAAAGAAAGAAAGAAAGAAAGAAAGAGAAAGAAAGAAAGAAAGAAAGATAGATAGATAGATAGATAGATAGATAGATAGATTTGGTCTGCAAATAGGCAATGCCTGGCCAAAAACTAAATTTGATTTACTTTATACCAGGGTGGAATGAAAATTAACCGTGCAGGCAGTCCTCGACTTATGACCACAGTTTGAGCCCCAAATGTTGTTGCTAAGCGAGACTGTGGTTAAGTGGGTTTTTCTCCCCCATTTTAGAACCTTTCCTGCCATGGTTGTTAAGCGAATCACTACAGCTTCTCAGTTAGTCACATGGTTGCTTAAGCACGTCTGATTTCCTCATCGGGCTCGCCAGAAGGTCACAAAAGGAGGACGCTGTGACCATCATAAATACGGGTCAATTCTCAAGCGTCTGAGTTTTAATCGTGTGACTACAGGGATGCTGCAAAACTTGTCAATTGCAGACAAATGGTCATAAGTCGCTTTTTTCAGTGGCCTTGTAATTTTTTTACTCCAGAACTGCCTGTAATTATTTAAATGCCATAGGAATAGTGGTCACCTATCTTAAGTAAAATAAATCAAGAAACTTGTCATTTTGAGCGTTTATACCAACGAGAATATATCTCCTGAACAAAAACTCCACACTGGTGACAGGAAGGGCATCCGGCCAGTAAACACTTGGCTCCATTCAGTTGGCCAGACTCCACCCCGATGCAAGGGATTATGGGGTCGTTAAAAAGAGAGGATTTACTTGATCCTTGAGTGGTGCAGTGGCCTAGAGGTAGAGCTCTCGCCTCACAATCAGGAGGCTGTGAGTTCGATCCTAGGTAGAGGCAGATATGAGAAGAGAATTTATCTGCTGAATACAACTCCACACTGGTGACAGGGAAGGGCATCCGGCCAGTAAACACTCGGTTCCATTCAGTTGGCCAGACTCCACCCCACAAGGGATTATGGGGTTGTTAAAAGAAGATGATGATACCAGGCCCTCATAGGGGCCCGGGGTTTGAGTTACTTAACAGACACCTTGCTTATTAATGGGGATTCTTGATCCCAGTTGTGGTTTTAAGATGGGAATTACCTATAAATTACAGAATTACAACAAAACTACTATTCCCTTAGTGTTGGGTGGCTAATAACAGGCAAACAGATAAATGTAGGCCTCAATTTACAAACACTCATTTTGTGACTTCAAATTTAAAACAGCGCCGAAAAAAAGAGATTTATGAACATTTTTCACACTTGTGACTCTTGCGGTGTCCCTGTGGTCACCTGATCCAAGTTCAGCCACTTGGCAACTGACTCGTAGTTATGACGGTTGCGGATTCCCCTTTTCCAACCTTCCCTCAAGCAAAGCAGCCAGTTTCACTTAACCAACCGTGTTACTAGCTGAAGAGCTGCGGGTGATTCGCTTAACGCCTGCAGCAAGAAAGTGGGGCAAAACTCACTTTACAGCTGTCTCGCTTAGCAACGGAAGTATGGGGAGGAATGGTGGTCGTAAGGCCGGTGTCAGGATGCCGGCAGTGACCCCTCATTTAAATCATGAGCCTTGAACCAAACTTCCAAACCTTCAAAAGGATTTATTGGGAGTTACCATGTCCGGCACTGCCTGGGTGCAGCCGACTCTGAGACACATCATTGTCACTCTTGACCCTGGTCTTCCCCTTCACCGCTTGGGTGTATCATAATTCATATTCTCCAATGGGACACCTCCATAGCCCAGAGTCATCGATCAGACTCTCCAGCTAGGCAGAAACTTCGGTCACCTAGTCTTTGAAAACATTGATGGAATGCACTTTCGGTTTGCAAGCTGCCGCATTGCTCCCCCCTCCCTTTCTGTTGGCAACTATAAAAAGACCATAGGAATATTTTATGAGTTGACAGCCGGGACTTCTGGTGGTACGAAAGGCACTAAATGCAAAAGCTTCCATCTGTCCTGGCCTCAACCTCCCAAAATGAGACCTAGCGGTCTGACGACGGCTGCCAATCCTCTTCCTCTGGGAATCTGGTGGAGCTTTACCTGTGGAATGACGGCTCTCTCTCGCCCTCCTTTTTCAGTGCCGCCCGAGGAAAGGGCCAGTCATTGGCTGAGAGAGGGTGAGTTCTCCTCCCGGCGGGCCAAGAAAACAACCCGGAAGAAAAAGAAGCACAGGAAGAGGAAGGAGGTTTGCCCCTCCGGGACGGCGGCTGAGACTTGCGCCCCGAATTACTTCGCCCCGGGGGGCCCCAGCTCCGTCCCGCGCCTGCCCCGGCTCCCCCAAACCAAGTGTTTTGTCGCCGACCCGCAGCAAAACCAAGCTCTGGATGACGTCCTTTGGTCTCGAGCGGACCCCGAGTGGAGACCCCGAGCCCCCCCACAGCGGGAGGCCCCCCTGGCCAGGCTGCCCCGGGACCTGCCCCTCGGCAGCTGCCGGCGTAACAACCCCCCGGATCTCATCAACCACCCCTTTTGCCCCGATTTCGGGGGTCCCGAGGAAACGGGACCGGGAGGTGGAGCGTGGCTGTTCCCCGGACAGCAGCCGTCGCGTTTTCGGGGGGCTGCTTTCTCCGCTCCCCCCAGGAGCTCTGCAGCTTTGTTCCCAAGCGGTGACCTATACGGGGTGCAGCCGCCTCGGGGCAGATGGGGTGGGTTGCCTCCCATCCATTCCCGGACAAACCTGATGGATGCTGAGTTGGTGGACCTGGACTCCGACTTCTAGAAGGCTCGGCTTGGAGGTCGATCAGCCGTGGGGGGGGTTGGGAGAAAGAGGGGGAAGGGGCTGCCCCTTGGGGACCTCACCAGGGGTTCTTCTACCCCCAACGCCTTCGAGGAGACCGAGAGAGATTATTGGAAGAGTCTGTCTTTGGGCGCCTTCTGAAGACCATCCTTCCTTCCTTCCCCCCACCTCTTCATCTTGCGGACCTCTGCAAGAAGACCAAGGGTGGGATTGTCCTTCTTGTTTTGGTATGTGAGGAGAACCTCAAGAGCGTTTCTAGCGTCCGGAATGAGGAAAACACTGCATCACCATTTACACCCCCGGCACTGATGATGCTACCTAGGTGGGTCATGAAACGTCTGTAAGGAAACCACCAAGCTCAGAGACCATCAAGGACCCGCCACAGCTTGGCCTTCCTTCCTTCCTTCCTTCCTTCCTTCCTTCCTTCCTTCCTTCTTTCCTTCCTCCCTCCCTTATTCCCTATGATGTTCCCTAGTTGGGTCATAAAATGTCTGCAAGAAAACAACCAAGCTCAGAGACCATCATGGGCTCTCCTTCTCCTTCCTTCCTTCCTTCCTTCCTCCCTTTCATCCTTTCCTTCTTCCTTCCCTCCCTCCCTCCTTCCCTCTCATTTCATCTCCTTCCTTCCTCCCTCCCTTCCCTCTTCATGTGTCCTCCTTTCCTTCTTCCCTGCCTCCCTTCTCATCTTCCATCTTTTCCCCCCTTCTCATCTCTCTTCCCTCCCTCCCTCCTTCCTCCCTCCCTCCCTCATTCCTAGTTAGCCATAGCCCTTAGACTTATATACCGCTTCACAGTGCTTCACGGTCCTCT